ACTGAGTAAGCATGTTTGTCCCTTTGAATAATTTTGGAGGAAAGCTGTGTACTAACGATCGGATTGTCATCCGATCACTTCGAAGGCGGTGTCTTTCATCTGATTGTGCGTGTACTGGGCTTAGCACACCCCTTTTTCCAAACTGCCATTGCTGCTGTCCAAAAGGAGTCTCTGTTGTCCCCCCATCCAGGGTGGAGACACCCTAAAGCTGGCCACACACTAGCAGAATTGTGTTCGAAATGTTTTCATTTTAAGTACATTTGTTCAGTTCTCCAATTGCTAGTGTGGTCAAATCGACGTTCATTTTCGACTGCAGTGAAGAGAAGTTTCAAAGACGAAGGATAGAAATGTTTTCTCAAACCAACAAACAGTTCTAAGAGTGAATGTGGTTTTCATTCAGGAAATTACATTCATTCCAAAACTGATTAGTAAAAGCAAGTGAAACGTTGAAGTACTGTCCAATGACATTCAAGTCATCAAGCGATCTGAGAATTTTCGCATGAACATTTGTTTGAAAATCTACTATTGCAGGGGTGTCAAACTCCATTTCATCACGGGCCGTATCAGCATTATGGATGCCCTCAAAGGGCTGGTTGTATCTGTAAGACTACAGCACCCCACCCCCCCATTACATTGAATGTCAAGAATCCCACACCCTCCCTAACATCACCGTGCACCCCCTTTGGGGGCAGAGCTGGAAAGCAGAAAGTGCAGGGTCTGGAGGAGGACCAGCGAAGGAGTAGAGTCAGTTACCAGAGTCCAGGCAGAGATGAGGGGGTGCTGCAGCTGCACTTAGAGGTGCAGGATTTGGCAGAGGTGCTCTATTGTCCTCTCTGCTGCTGATTGCTGAGACAAGGCGAGGGTGGAGAAAAGGGGGTACCTGCAGGAGAGGTGCAAGGGCCATATGAAATGGCCGGGAGGGCCGGATTCGGCCCGCGGGTCTTGTGTTTTACACCTGTGTACTAGTGTATGGGAAGCTTAAGACAAGAAGTGTGTTATTGGCAGGATCACCAGATGAAAATAAAGAAAAAAAAAGACAAAAAATAGAAAACCAATGCAGCCACCACATTAAAGAATTGGTAAGCTGCAATAGATAGATAGGGATAGACCTTTGAAAACAAAGCAAATAATACCGATTAAAAAAAAATAGGTATCATGACAAATCCACTAACACACCTTATGCCTTTATCTCCTAGGGCTAGGTTCACACCTATGCAGTTTGCGTTTGAGCCTTTTCTGCATTGCGTTTTAGCATCTGCAGTATTTGCCACATTTTGCTGGTTTTTTTTCTTGTTGCTAGGCATTATTTTAAAAGCAAAATGCATCAAAAATGCAGCAGAAACGCACTACATGATTTTCTGCAGTGTTTCCATTGCAGTCTATAGAACCAAAAACGCAACTTTTTGCGTTCAAAAAAAGTCCCTGACCCTTCCCAAAAAACACACCAGGTGAAAACGCAGAGATGTGAATGTGTCCCATAGGAAATCATGTTAAATGGACTGTACTGCGTTTCTGCAAAACGCTGTGGAAAACGCTTAGGTGAGAACCTGGGGTAAAGCAGATCAAAGCGTAGCTATCCACAACAACCAATTTCATTCATTGTATGTAGGTAGGGCAGCACAGTGGCCAAATGGTTAGCATTTCCACCTGGAAGTACTAGGGTCGTTGGTTTGAATTCCAAATACGGCATCACCTGCCTGGAGTTTGCATGTTCTCCCTGTGCCTGCGTGGGTTTCCTCCAGGTACTCCAATTTCCTCCCCACACTCCAAAGACATGCTGGTAGGTTAATTGGCTTCTGTCTAAATTGTCCCTAGTATGTATATGTATGAATGTGAGTTAGGGACCTTTGATTGTACGCCCCTTGAGGGTTAGGGACTGATGTGAATGTACAATATATATGTAAAGTGCTGCGTAAATTGACGGCGCCTGTAAATACATGTAAGGGCTCATGTACACTGCAGCTGATAAACTGACATTCAGGAGCTGTTCAGCATTTTTTTCCAGCAGCCCCTGAACTCTTCCTAATGTTTTCCTATGTGTCCGTGTACACATCGTTGTTTACTATTATTATACAGGATTTATATAGAGCCAAACGTTTGCTCAGCGCTGTACATAATAATGGGAGACAGTACACGAGATAGTACAGTAACAATACAAGTCAATACACGAGGGGTTTGAGGGCCCTGCCCCTTGGAGCTTACAATCTAGGAGGGAGGGGATAGTAGTACAGGAGGAAATAGCTGTGGGGGGGGGATGGAGTGGTAGGAAGAGTGGAGGAGATCGGCAATTAGGTTAGGTTTACAGGCAGTTGAGTTTACAGTCGTTTTTTTGAACGCACCAAAAGTTGTGTTCAGGAGTAGATTTTACTGGCGTTTCAAACACCAAACACTTGTAAATGCGTGTAAACGCGGTTAACTGCGTTTATAAGCATTTGCGTTTATAAACGTTTTTTAACTATTCCATACACAGATGCTGTCCAGAGCCTTTTTTCATCATCAGAAATGCCTGCAAAGCGTTTTCCATGTATTCAAATGGACCCGGTACACCAGCGCAGTTTCTCGTTTTGCATGAAGGAAAAAAATGGTAGAACGTGTCGCATTATGCGCATGATGGGATCCATAGTGAATACAACCAGAAAAGACAGGTCATCTCAACACTCTCTGCTTCTGCTCTCTCTATTTCTCTCAAAATGTCTAAAATAGTCAATTATTTACTATTTTTCAGTGCATTCTGGGTATTTGGGAAGGTCTCCTGAGGTTATCTTTTAAAAAACGCTTCTAAACGCACATAAAAGCGATATGCAAACGTGGCTAAACTGCCATTTTTTACCCTACGTTTTCCAGCAGTCAGTTTCCATCATTCAGAAGAGTTTTCCAAACGCCCTGTGTACATGTGCCCTGATAAATAAATTGTATGTACAGGGATGAATTCTGGTTCCTCCTGATGATGCCAGTTGTTCAGGAACTTTTGCACTGATAAATAAGAACAACAGATTTAATGATCTTAATAGTATTCTTAGATTGTAAGCTCCCAGGATCAGGGCCTCCTATCCCTCTTGTATTGAACTGTATTGTCTCTCCTTATATTGTAAAGCGCTGAGCAAACTGTTGGCGCTATATAAATCCTGTATAATAATAATATATAAAATCCTGAATAATAATAATAATATATAAATCCAGTAAATAATATATAAATCCTGTATAATAATAATAATATATAAATCCTGTATAATAATATTAATAATATATAAATCCTGTATAATAATATATAAATCCTGTATAATAATAATAATAATATATAAATCCTGTATAATAATATATAAATCCTGTATAATAATAATATATAAATCCTGTATAATAATATATAAATCCTGTATAATAATAATAATAATATACAAATCCTGTATAATATAATATAAATAATGTATAATAATATATAATAATATATAAAATCCTGTATAATAATAATAATAATAATAATAATAATATATAAATCCTGTATAATAATATATAAATCCTGTATAATAATAATAATAATATACAAATCCTGTATAATAATATATAAATCCTGTATAATAATATTAATAATATATAAATCCTGTATATAATATATAAATCCTGTATAATAATAATATAAAAATCCTGTATAATAATATATAAATCCTGTATAATAATAAATAATATATATAAATCCTGTATAATAATATATAAATCCTGTATAATAATAAATATATAAGTCCTGTATAATAATAATAATAATATATAAATCCTGTATAATAATAATAATAATATAAAGTCCTGTATAAATAATAATAATATATAAATCCTGTATAATAATAATAATATATAAGTCCTGTATAATAATAATAATATATAAGTCCTGTATAATAATAGTAAAAGTGTAACAAGGGAACTCTTCTAATCAGCCTCCACCCGTAAAGGAATTTGGCTCATACAATGCAGCATCTGCACAATGGATTTCTATTGTTGTACAATCTTTAACAAAATGTACAAAAGAAAGTAAAGAATGCTCTACTGAACTGTGTTCATCCTGATTGAACCCCCTCTCCCTTCCCCCGCTGCCCCTCTTACCAGCTGTCTCTGGACACAGCATGGAGCAGCCTGATGGCTGGGGCCAGGGATGATCTCATGGTGAGGATTTGGGATGGAGTAGGTCCTGCTAGGATGGTTGCTGCGCTGGGGCTCCTGGCTGCAAGATCACATGGCTGTGCTGAGGTCCTGCATTATATACTGTAGCATCACACCCTCCCAGCGCAGCATCAAACAGCTGTACAGGCAATGAATGGGAATAAAGAGACATCATGTGACCACAGGGGACATGTGATCACAATGGGTAGGACAAAAAAAATAAGAAGGGACCGCCCACATTAACCCTTGCAACATCTGTCTGGGTGCTGAGCAAAGTTTGAGGAGGGTAAAGCACAGTCACAGTGTTGTGTCAGTAGGAGCATGGCAGTGACATACACATGGGGGGCTGCTGTCATCCTGCTAGACATGTGCACACATGATTTCCACAGACATTTATTTTTCTTTTGAAGATCTTTATTTTAGAAATAGAATTTTACAGAAACAAACATCTTGAGTTGTACGTACTCAGTGCATGCACCTACACATTCACATGAGAAGGACTCCGGCACGCTGAATGCATACCGCCCAAAACGCAAGTACCGCTCTGTACAGCGCCCAGTCGCCATAGTTCACATTGATTTTAATCCGGCGTTCACATACGTTCAGTGCGGTATATCGCATGTGAATCACACAGGAACTGCACCGCATTCCTGTGCCAATCACATGCGATTTATGTGCGATGCGATCGGAGCCGTACAGTATGCATGGCTCTAATCACACCGCATCTGCACCAAAAAGGTGCAGGACCCTTTTTTGGGTCTACAATAGAATCGTATCGCATGGGTAGTCACACCTATGCGATCAGATTCTGCACATCACACCACGTTTGGCAGACCACTTTTGGGGTGTTGTTAAAGCGGAGTTCCACCCAAAAGGGGAAATTCCGCTTTAAGGACTGCTCCTCCGCTTCCCATTAAGGATTGGCACCTTTGGGGAGCGGAGGGGGGGGGCGGGAACCCGAATTTGACAGGTACCCGCTCCCACTTCTGGTCCGATCGCCTAGGTCATCGGAAACGGAAAGTGTCCCCCTCCCTCCCTGTAGTCTTTTGGGACACGTGACAGGTCCCAGAAGACTACAGGGCCATTCATGAAGTGCAGCGCTACTCGCACATGCGCAGTGGGTACCCGGCTGTGATGCCACAAGCAGTCGCAGCCGAGTGCCCACACTGAAGATGGCGGCCTCCTGGAAAACAGGATAGCCGGTGAAACGAGCTGCGGGTGACACACCGCTGGACCAAGGGACAGGTAAGTGCAGGGGCGGACTGACAACTCATGGGGCCCCCGGGCAATAGGGATCATGGGGCCCCTGTGTCCTTGCCCAAACTCAAAAAAGCCTATGATAAAGGTACCAGGGGCATCTCATGGGGCCCCCTTCTGACCCCGGGCCCTCAGGCAGTGCCCAAGTTTCCAAACGGTCAGTCCGCCCCTGGGTAAGTGGCTGTTTTTTAAAAGTCAGCAGCTACAGTTTTTGTAGCTGCGGACTTTTATTTTTTGACAGGGTGAGTGGAGCTCCACTTTAACTTAACATACACACCCGCAGCGGTTCGCACGATGTGGTGCGGAATTCACACAAAAAAATGCTGCAAATTCTGCACCACATCAGTGTGAACCCGGGCTGACAGGCTGCAGGATGCTGCAATAGTGCCTCCAGGCTCAGGAAAATGCCAGGTGTTGACACGCATGGGCTCACGTTGGCAAAAGCCGGCCATACACGGGTTGAATTCCAAAATAATTTGCTTTCGAAATCTTTTCTAAGAATTTTCGTTCAAATTTTGCACCATTAGTGGGCCACAGCAACGGACGATTTTCAAACAACCTTCGAATTTGAATGATCGGGCATGTTGGACATTTTTTTGAAAAATGAACGAATTTCTAATCAATGATGGGAGAATCGTGCAAGGAATGTAAATGAAAAAGAAATGAGTGTGAGCTGACCTGGAAGAAAATTCCTTTCTGTAGCAACATGAGGTAATATTCAAGGCTTTGTTGGTTGAATTCTTTGAAATCAATGGTGGCGCCATTGAATTACAAAACACACAAAAAATTCTGATTTTCTAAAGAAAATTTGTTTGGAATTCAACCCATGTATGGTCTGACTTAAGCCAGCCATATACGGGTCGAATTCTGAAAGAATTTTCTTTCGAAAATCTTCTCTTAACAATTTTCGTTCAAATTTCGCACCATTAGTGGGTCACATCAAAGGATGATTTTAAAGCAACCATCGAATTTGAAGGCATGTTGGAAATTTTTTGAAAAACTAACGAATTTCTAATCAATGATGGGAGAATCAGGCGGGGAATGTAATTGACAAAGAAATGAGCGTGAGCTGACCTGGAAAGAGAAGAAAATTCTTGGCCGCAAAAATTAATTTCTGTAGCAACATGAGGTAAAAAGAAAGGCTTACTTGGTTGAATTTCTGAATGAATAGTGACACCATTGGATTGCAGAAATGCACGAAAATTCCGATTTTCTAAAGAAAATTAGTTCAGGATTTGACCCATGTATGGCCTGCCTTAACCATTTCCCGTCTGGCCCATGTACATAAACAGCCGGACGGGAGCAGTGCAGGAGCTGTTGGCCATTTATAAACATCCTCCCACATTCCCTGCCTGTGCGCGCTACCTGGGAGCGAGCGGCACCGCGAACCGGTGTCCACTGTGTTCTCCGGACACAGCGAAACACCGATCGCTGTACGGGACCTCACACAGAGGTCCCGTACAGCGATCGGTGTTTCGCTGTACATGTGTGAGGTCCCGATCATGTGATCACTGATTGGCCAATCAGTGATCACATGAATAGTAGTAAACAAGATGTCACTTCCATATTGCTTACTACTTGTGAAATCTGTGAATGATCACAGAGGCCACATGGTACAGGGCTATTCACAACAGCCTTGTACCACGTGACAAGCTGTGACCAATCACAGCTCACACAGTATTTCTCAATGGCTGCAAGAATGCAGCCAGAGAGAAGGAGAAATGCGTTTACAGCCTTTATGGGTGTAAAACAATCAGTGTAAAAAAAAAAAAAAAAAAATCTTCATCACCCCCACAAGTAGTACAGTGTCACCATGGTGACACTGTACTGCTAGGGTGACAGTATGTTAAAAAAAAAATAATATAAAAAAAATAAAAAATGTAAAAAAAAATGTGAAAAAAATATAATTTTTGGTTATAAACTAATTTGGTTTGTGTTTTTTTTTACTAAGAAGATTTGAAAAATTTTATAAGAAAACACTTTTTTTAGCAAAAAAATAAAAATCCCAGTGGTGAATAAACCAAAAGGAAAGTTTTATCTGTCTCAAAAAAATGCTAAAAAATTCATATGGGTACTGTGTTGCATGACTGCGCAATTGTCATTCAAAGTGTGATAGCACTGAAAGCTGAAAATTGTCCTGGACTGGAAGGGGGTGAAAGTGTCCGGACTGGAAGTGGTTAAGCTACATTCACTCCGGTGATTAGGGCTGGCACGAAATGTAGCAGCAGGAATCAGGGAATCCTGCTGCGGATCTCAGCGGCTAAGTGACAGGTGACCAGCGGACACAGGTATTCATGGTTGTCTGCAAAGCCAGCAATTTCCTGTGGTGATCCCTGCTGGATGCATTTTGTGTACTTACAGCAGCTAGCACCACAGGTAATCATTGGCTGTGCAGAGAGCTGTGAATACCTGTGGCCCAGGGGCGGACTGACCATTTGGAAACTCGGGAACTGCCCGAGGGCCCGGGGTCAGTAGGGGGCCCCATAAGATGCCCCTGGTACCTTTTTCATAGGCTTTTTTGAGTTTGGGCAAGGACACAGGGGCCTTATGATCCCTATTGCCCGGGGGCCCCATGAGCTGTCAGTCAGCCCCTGCTGTGGCCACTGCTGACTTGTCATTATAGTGAGCAGGGCCAGCAGCTGCACCTAGCCACTGAGATCCACTGCAGGAATCTCTGATTCAATTTGCACCAGCCCTAATCACCGGTGTGAATGTAGCCTAAAGATGGGAATACACGATTAGAAAATCGACCGATCGGTCATCCAACAAGGCATTCGTTCGTTGGTCGAAATCGTGGCTCACATTAACCAATCTAAAAAAATCATTCGTCGGGCAATACTTAGCGTTGACATCTTCCATACAAGTGGAAGTGATGCGTTGTGCGTTTGACCTTGTAGCCACGCCCTTCCGGCCAGAACCAGCGATATACACAACAATGACCAGCAATGAGTATAATATAGATTATTACATGACCTATATACATCAATAGTGATACATAAAATATAATCTGCACAATTCTGGTTTCATGATCTCATTAGGCCAATCTACTTTTAACATTTGGATTGTTCGTTCGTGTTTATGAAGATTCCTTGGACATAAACATCCGGGTCATCTTCTGTTTCCGCTCATGCATGATAGCGCTTAATGGATTTTTTTCGTATGACCGTCATACCATCGCATAGAAAAACGGTTGTTCTTATGCGAAACGACAACATTTTTCACGGTTGTTCAACCAGATTTTTTTGTTCACAATATCGTTATCGGTTAAAACATCCTGCTCATCAACGAAGAGAAAATCGTTCGATCAGTGGTTCTGTGAAATGTTTTCGTACGATTTTCTTATCGTGTGTATGGGGAATTAGCCTTCTCTTTACCCTCCGATAACGCAGAGTTATTACAAGAATTGGAATACAGACTTCAGGTACAGCAAACATAAGGGTCACACATTCCAATCTAACCATACAATATCTGTACTTTAAATCTAAAATACTTAATATAAGGGTGTCAGGAGCCGTGGCGGCGTGTGGCTCGGCGCAGGTGCAGTGTGCCGATGCGCACTGGTGTGCGGGCAGTAGGTCCTGGGCGGCCGCGTTGACAGCGGAACTCGCGCATGCGCACTCGCGACCACGGGCGCGCGCCTGGCACCAATGACAGTGCGGGGCGCGGTATTTAAATTGGCTCTGCACTGACACTGGTTGCCGTATGGTCGTATCTGTTTGTTCCTGCTCCTGCTATCTGTCATTAGATTGTTGCCGACCCTAAGTGATTTTGACCGTGCTGTCTTTTCCTGCCCTGACCCCTGGCTTGCCTGACCTCTCTCTGGATGCTTCACATTGGATCTGACCCCATTACTGACCTGGCGAGTGACCCGACTATTCTGTGCCTGCTGCCTTGTACCACGCTGTTCCCACGGTTACCGACCCGGCCTGTCTGACCACGCTTCTGCTCAGCCATCCATCCATCCATCCTGCACAGACCCATCCGCCTCTTCACGTCAGGCTCTTTGCCAGCAGATACCTCTGGCGGAACCCTCTACCACGGGTGGGTGTACTCAGGGGCCGCGACCTGGCCTCTGTCTGCTCCAAGTCCATCCCCACCATCAGGGGGGCCCTGGTAATAAAGAAGACTGGGACTTAGAGTCCGTGCTCTGGGGAATCCTATTCTGTGGGTTGCTAGAGGTACCGCCAGGCGGTACATTACAAAGGGTCTTCTTACACTATCCAATCAGTTTGTATCCAATCAGACAGGCCCTTGCACTACATTGTTGTTACAGGAAGAAGGGTCAGCCGCACACCGGAGGATAGATGAATATATAGTGTATATTTATTGATCCATAGGACACACAAAACACCAGGACATGAATACAGGACCTGTTAACGCGTTTCACACGATCTCGTGCTTAATCATAACCATCCTGTTGCATTGTGTGTGGTGGCGAGCCAGAGCCTGCACCTGTCGTGGATTGATCTGGATTGTTTGCCTGAGCGGTACACCTTTTGTTCTTTTGACTACATTGTTGTTGGTGGAGCTAAAGTAAAGTAGATTGTACAATCACATTATGTGGTGAGCTTTAGGCTTCATTCACATTAGCGCGTCTCCATAATCACACGATTTCCAGTGCGACTTTGGAGCTTAATTTTGATCCGACTTTACATTCTCTGACCAAAGTCATATCAAAATAGTGCAGGCATCTTTTCAAAGTCGCTGCAAATTGAAGTCGCAGCTATTTGGACGGGTGCCATAGAA